TGGTACCTTCACAAATAATAATTAATTTGTTATATTTATATGTTTTTGCAATGTTAAGGATGTATATTGTCATGTTAGTCAAAAAGATATTATGGATGTCAGAATATATCATAATTGGAGGTATAAATAGAATACTTCAAGGAAGAAATGTATTAACAAATAAATTTATTTCTTCATAAAGTTGGAACTTATATTTGTCCTAACAAGGGTAAAATCCACAAGGAATTATAAATCATGTTTTGAACATGTAATTCTAGATTTAATTTACTGGTTGATGTTCTAATTATAAATATTTAATTATTTATTGCTGCTTGTTTTTAGATCCCAACGAAGCTATTATTATGGGACGACCTTCCGAGAAATGCTATGGGAAAGGTATAATTCGAATTCAAGACCTCTTAGTTCGTAGCCAAAACATCTAATCTAACCAACAGACCAAAGAGAGCTGCATGTACATTCCAATTTCGCTTTACTATTTGTCCTAAACTTTTCATTTCTGTCTTTTAGGTGAATAAGAAAGAGCTCAAAAGATTGCTTGAGAATTGATTTGCTTTCCTTAGAAGGAAGTTGCAGTTGGATGGCTTTCAATTTTTAGGTGAGAATTGGTATCTCATAGATTGTGGCTCTTCAATGTAGGGGTGTCAATATTTGACACGACAGAAAATCCGACCCGGACCCGATCCGATTTCAAAATGGGTCGGGTTCGGGTTGACCCGCTCACTACCGCCGTTCTGGCCTCGGCAGAACCCAAAACCGGGTCGTGTCGGGTCGGGTCCGGGTTCGGATTTCCGACCCGTTTGTCTACCCGGGTCGGGTTAGGGTCGACCCGTTTGAACCCAGGTCAGTTTCGGGTTCGACCCGAACCCGATCCGTGACCCGAAATTGACACCCCTACTTCAATGTATGTGGTTCTACAAGTTTATGCACGTAAAGAAATAAATTGTAATAATGTACTTGTAGGTTATTATTTAATTTCATAAATAGTTTCTCTTTAGAGAGAGAGAGAGAGAGAAGAGAGAGAGAGAGAGAGAGAGAGAGAGAGAGAGAGAGTATTGTACGTCGAAAGATCATTATATTATGTCAATATGTGCGTTTGATCAAGAGTACATATTTATGATATGGAATTAGAAACAACCGCAAGGCTGGGAAGAAGCTCAGCATCAAAACCAGTAGAAACTGATTTAAGGGAAAGCAAAAAATTCTGAAAAATAGACCACCGCCTTAATTTTGCTGGTCATATAATGCAGCGAATAAGGAATATGGGGGTTCTCATTAAATTGAAAGAACAAAGAATATAAATGCTGATGATTAATATTTTGATGTTAAAAATGACA